GACAAAGTTTCAGATCAAAATTCAAAAACATAGCTTTGCTGCAAAAGTGGGGTGCTATAGGAAAAAATCACTAGAAACTCTATATCTTCCCAGAAACAAGACAGAAACCCGAATTTTTTTTATCGTAGATACAGCTCACTAAGGACTATAAGATGCGCAAAGTCCCGACTCAAAAGTTGTCTGGCACTTTGGAATGTTCCCTTGTCAGTTGACATTCGCTCAGATTCAACAACTGTAAGTCACTTGAAAAGCAAACTGATAAATAAGTATACATCTGATACAATAGGTTTTTTAATGATAAAAATACTACATGTGCAAACTGAATTCACATTTTATACGACTTTTCAAAAGTCGATTGAATTCAATTGGAATTCAAATTATTTGGTATAGGCTAGTGTATACTGATAAATTTCACGAACAATGATTTATTTTAAATTTTTAAACGTCAATCAGACATTTTCTTAGATTTTACGGCTGATCAAGTTTTTTTCGGTTTTGTTAAACCAATCGGTGTTGCATTGTATGAAAGTATCAAGAAACAGTGATCAATGGTCATTGCATCTGATATATTAGTAGAAAACAGCATGTCACGGAAGAGGAGAGATGTTATCCTGGTTATGATTAAGTTAGAATTTAATAATCTCATGCAGAGAATAAAAGTTGCTATCATGACAATATGTTCTGGTCAAGAGAAAAAAATTTGTTGTTTTTTTTATGGAACTTTTCACATCAAAGCCTCTAAACTTGATGCTTATTTCGCAAGTTATATCTTATAGAAAAATCTTCATTCCACAGCACTTATAGTCGTTTTACGACACAATTGCAAGATCGATGACGAATAACGATCACTTTTGAGCACAAAGTGACATTCCAAGTAAGCATTACTTGTGTTTACCTGCTGATTATATCCTTCGAGAAACTTATTCTCTGATTAGTTTTTGTACAAATATACAACAGCATAAATAGAGAATCAAATAACAAATATCGAAAAGGTAAGTCGTACCTTGAAGTCACCAACTAGGTTCCACTTGGGGATAATATAAAACCTGACACCATCTCCAGCCCCACTCAACGTTGCAGTGTAGATTATCAGAATTAAAAGAACCACATACGGGAAAATGGCCGTGAAGTAGGCAACCTGTAGAAATAAATGCAAAAGTGCAAATACCATGTAAAACAAACCTTGCCCGATGTTTTGACGCCTCGAATGATGCATAGACAAACAATGATCCATGCAACAAGCAGCGAAACAGCCATGTAAACTGTTGGCGTGCCGAAATCATCGAAACTTGGACTTTTATTCAGAAGAAGTCTGCTGCAAATAAATAACAAGCATAAAAGCACTATTCAATTCTCAAAATAAATCTCTGTCACTAATTCAACAAAATCGCATTAATTCTTACTAGTAGAATTCTTCTGTGGCAGTGACTCGGTCTGTAGTGTTTATTTCATTGCAATTGTATGCACTAAAATTTTGATATTGCGTTTCTGTACAGTTGAATGTTGTTCCATTGACTGTGTAAGTTGTTCCACGTTTTCCGGGCACGAAGCAGTGTTTTGTATTCCACCAATAGCCACAATCAGACCACAGAAGACGTTTTCGAAACGACGATATAAAGTAGAACAATGACCATGCAATAACCACATTATAGTAAAGCATACATAATACGCTGTTGATAATCATAGCATAGCCGACACCTTAGGAAGCAAAAATAAGAACGAACATTAATTACCAGTTATTTGTTTACCTTTCCATCCTCTAGCGAGAATAAATGCTGTAGCAGGCCCTCGACTTGAAAACTGACCTAAGGCCAATTCCAAGTAATAGATAGGTGCCCCGATTAGGAAGTACAAAATGAAGTACGGAATAAGAAAAGCACCTAGACGATAGAATGAACTAAAGAAAATCTATTCATACACATTACGTACCACCACCACTTCTAGCAGCAAGATACGGAAAACGCCAGACATTACCAAGTCCTACGGAGTTTGAAATAAGTGAAAACACAAATTCTATTGGACGATCCCATTCGTGATGCTCCTGATTTTGAAAAAAATTATTCAAACAATAAGAGTTTTTGCGGCATGACTCACCTCATCATCACTTGTCGTTTTCGCGGCATGACTCACCTCATCGTCACTTGTCGTTTTTGCTGGAACATCTGCCTCATTGGAGCTCACGATATTGTTCGAGCCACAAAACTAAAAGAAAAAATTGTGTATTTTACGGTATTGATGTATGTTAGACGCATAAAGGCAAGAAAAGCAATAGGATACACTATCCACGCAGAGCAAAACTTATATTAGCTATTTCTTTCAGCCAAAGCTATCAGAGGTGGGATCGGTTGGCATTTTTGCCAAACCGAAACGACCGTAACCGAAAAAATCGCTAACCGAACCGAACGTAACCGACCGAATTTTTTAAAATTTCTAACCGAACCGACCGTAACCGAAAAAATCTCTAACCGAACCGAATGTAACCGACCGAATATTTAAAAATTTCTAACCGAACCGACCGTAACCGACCGAATTTCAAAAATTTCGTAATCGAACCGAGTTTAGAGAAAGCGAAGTTTAGCTTATTTTAGTTAGGGTATTAGTGCTTTATAAATTAGCAACAACAAATCAAATAATAGCAACTAAAAATAATGAACACTTAGAGAAAGCAAAGAATAAAGATTATTTATTGGATCTTCTTACTGTATTATAACTTCCTTACCTCTCAGGGCAAATTTTAAAAATATGTGAGATAATCCGCGTTGCGAGCAACAGCTAGTTGTTGTACGATTATATTCTTTTTTCTTCTTATGTTTCACTGAAAAAGTCCATTGAACTCAAATGAAACGATTATGTTGATTCTTTCTAACCGAACCGAACATAACCGACCGAATTTTTTAAAATTTCTAACCGAACCGACCGTAACCG